CGAATCATATCGTTGTGAAGGACAGCAAACAAGTAGTACAATCGCTTACGGACGAAGACATCGCTACCATTCAGAAGTTGAGTAAAGATCCTCGGATTGCAGAAAGAATAATAGCTTCAATGGCCCCATCCATATATGGCCACGACTATATTAAACGCGCACTTGCGCTGGCTCTATTTGGTGGAGAGTCCAAAAACCCCGGTGATAAACACAAAGTTAGAGGCGACATAAACTTACTTATATGCGGCGGCCCAGGAACGGCAAAATCTCAGTTTCTTAAGTACACGGAAAAAATAGCGCCACGTGCAGTTTTCACGACCGGACAAGGGGCCAGTGCTGTAGGCGTGACTGCCTATGTTCGTCGAAATCCAATATCGCATGAATGGACTTTGGAGGCAGGCGCCCTGGTACTGGCGGATCAAGGTGTATGTCTTATTGATGAGTTTGACAAAATGAACGATCAGGATCGAACTTCCATTCACGAGGCCATGGAGCAGCAATCGATTTCCATATCAAAAGCTGGTATTGTGACGTCTCTACAAGCACGATGTACTGTTATTGCAGCTTCTAATCCGATCGGCGGCAAATAACACCAACATCGAGGGACTTAATCGAAGTAAGTACCCGATTAATTTGCTGGCTTTTCTGGGTAAACAGATTTTCCCAAATTGCTGCCTTTTCATTGATTGAGTAAGCAACGCCATAGTGAGTTATTCAATACCTACTTTTTGTTGTTAACCGTTTATTCGAGGCCTAATTGGTTTGTGTTTTTTATCAGGGATTGCTGGCATAACGACATGCTGCGTATCGTGCGATTACAAAGAACAAAACACAAACAAAAAGAAGCTGATTGTCACCGAACCGAACCCTTTTGGAGCCGAAGATATGTGAGTTTTTAAATATTTTTTTTGTATTATTTTAAATTGTGCCTTTCGGGCGGGTCTTACACTATAAACTGCCTACACAGTTTATACAATCTCTTCCAAATAAAGCGGATAGAAAACCAGCAAGCTTGAGAGGTTGAAGATTTTGAAACAAAAAACCATATCGGGTTAAACTTGCTAGTTTTCTACTGTTTGCTTTTATTCTGAGGCGGAGTAGTTCGCTACTTCTGCAGTTATTTTAATTATGGATTCAGATCTGAGGATGGTCGTTTTTGTATAGCCAGATCAACCCGGGGTAACTCGGGTAAGAACCATCACGCCAAATACAAAAAAAACTCAAAATATACTCCATGGTACTAAAAACAAGTTATCTCAAAAAAGGTTAGACATGGGATCCCTCCTACTACCTAGAAGTGGAATGTTGTGGTAAAAGGAAGTGGAATGTAGTAAAGTGGTGAGGGGTAATTTATGAGGCGGTTGTTGGCTCCGCGTTTCCATCGTTGTATGGCGGGAGTAGAACCAACTTCACCAGTGGTCTTGTGACTTGACCTTTCTCCGTCGAGATGTACACTACTCGTACTCTGCTGTCGGCACCAGGGTGTATGTTGACAACTCGTCCTAACCTCCACTCAGTGGGGGTTAAGTTGTCTTCCTTGATGACGACCAGATCACCACGTTTGATATTTTCTTTGGGATGCTTCCACTTAATGCGTTTTTGAAGTTCGGTTAGGTACTCTGTTTTCCATCGCCTACAGAAAGTTTGATTAAGTGCTTTGAGTTTTTGCCACCGATTCACTAGGGAGGCAGGAGTTTCATTAACGTCTAATTCTGGTGGGGCTAGAAGATGTCCACCGATGAGAAAATGGCCTGGAGTAAGCGGCTCCAGGTCAGTAGGGTTATTTGAAGAGGGACTCAGTGGCCGTGAATTGAGGCATGCCTCAATACGGCATAAAAGAGTACTAAGCTCTTCAAAGGTGTATTTGTGGGAGGACGCCATTTTTCTAAAGTGGCTTTTGAAGCTCTTTACGCCCGCTTCCCACAGTCCTCCCATGTGAGGCGCTGCAGCGGGTATAAAATGCCACGTCAGCATTTGATGATTGTATTTCGAGATAGTTTTTTCTCGGGTTTCAGACAGAAAAGCTTTAAATTCAGATCGTAAGGATCGTGAGGCTCCGACAAAGTTAGTGCCGTTGTCGGAGTAAATATTTCTCGGACATCCTCTTCTAGCCACGAACCGTGCGAACGCCGCTAGAAAAGATGGGGTACTAAGATCACTAGTAGCTTCTAAGTGAATCGCTTTTGTCGTGAAACAAACAAATAAACAGACATACCCTTTAGAAACTCGACAACCTCTGCCGCGGTAACTTTTAACATCAAAAGGTCCAGTAAAGTCTACCCCCGTATTGGTGGAAGCGCGAGTAAATGTAGTGCGTTCCGGGGGAAGAGTTCCCATAAGTTGAGTTTGTGACCGTTTTTTAAAGATAATGCATGTCTTACAATTATGGATAGTGGACCTGATCAAGTTCTTGACTTTGGGAATCCAGTATTGGGTACGGATGAGGCGTAGCATCAGTTGATTCTCTCCATGCAAGGAGACCTTGTGAATAAACGATACAATAAGGCGGGACAACCTGCTGTTATACGGGATAATGCTCGGGTGGCGTTCATTGTATGCTAAGTCCTGGGATGCTCCAAGGCGACCTCCGGCTCTGATGATGTCATGTTTGTCGATGAACGGATTAAGTGGAAGGATTTCACTCTTCGCATCGATTGGTTTTTTAGACTTCAAGTTTGCGTATTCTTCACCATAATAATGCTTCTGGTAGATTTTTATCAGGATTTCTGCCGTTGTTTTAATTTCATTAGATGAAATTAAACAAGAATTTTCCTGAAATGAAGCTTTTGTTTTGGAATGAGTTCTTCGATAGAATCTCATAACATATGATAAAACTCTCAAAGCTCTCGGTAGATCGGAAAAACGGTCAAGAATATCGATATCATTTGCTCTTGTTGTCGCATAAGTGTGTGCTTTTTTTTCTTCAACTTCTGTATGATAGTCTGTTCCTTGAGCGGGCCACTTGGAGTTGTCTTCTTGCAGCCAAGAAGGTCCCTGCCACCACAAAGAATTGTTGACCAATTCTGACGCAGGTAGTCCTCTGCTAGCCAAATCGGCTGGATTTGAGGCCGAGTCTACGTGTAGCCAGTCCTTCTCCCCTACTTTTTCTACGATTTTCGTAATTCGGTGGGCGACGAAGGTTGACCAAGAACAAGGCGGCTTTCGTATCCATGCGAGTACGATGGTCGAGTCCGTCCATAGATGTGTCTTCACTGGTCCTAGGTTGAGGTTGTTGATTATAGATTCTATGATTTCTGCGAGCAGTACTGCTCCGCAAAGCTCCAGTCGTGGTAGCGATATAGTTTTGACGGGGGTACTCTGGTTTTTGCCAAAAGTAGATTGACCAAAATTTTGTCATCTCTTTTGACACGCATATATGCCGTAGCCGCATATGCTTTTTCTGATGCGTCGCAGAAACCATGTATCTCTATGGTGTCTCCAGGTGAGAAGTATACCCATCGAGATATTCTGATATTATCTATTTCGTGGTAATGTCTCGTAAAATGCTGCCAACGTTCTAAAATAGTATCAGACACAGTCTCATCCCAGTCTGTGCCTTCTAGCCAAATACTTTGCATGAGTATTTTGGCTACGATGACTATTGGTGCGAGCCATCCCAGTGGATCGAAAAGCTTGGCAATCGCTGACAGCATCGCCCTTTTCGTAATAGTGTCGTGCTCCTCCAATGGTCTGACCATAAAATAAAACAAATCCGTATGAGCATTCCACCTTATGCCCAGAGCCTTAACCGTGCTGGTGTCTTCGAATGCTAAGAAATCTTCGCTCAGAAGGTCCGTTTTTGGGATGCCCTTAAGAATTTCCTGACAATTTGAGGTCCATTTCCGTAGTGGAAAACCAGCTGATCGTAACACTTCTGAGATTTCATCTCTTGCTTTAATGGTCGAGTCGACGCTATGTCCTCCAGCTAACACGTCATCCACATACATGCACTTTCGTAGTATGTTAGATGCTATTGGGAAAGAATTCTCTACATCGTCGGCTAATTGCAGAAGTGTCCTTATCGCGAGGTAAGGTGCGCTATTAATCCCGAAAGTGACAGTCTTTAATTCATATAGACTTACAGGCTCGTTCGGGTTTGTACGATAAACTATTCGCTGGTATTTGGTATGGTTGTTATTCACCCAAATTTGGCGGTACATCTTCTCGATGTCGCTATTAAAAACGTACCGATATAATCTCCAGCGGAGTATTAATATTGGAAGATCTGCTTGGAGTACTGGACCTGGGTAAAGTACGTCATTTAAACTTGTACCATTAGCCGTCTGGCTTGAGGCATTAAAGACGACCCGAACTTTTGTAGAGGTGCTTTCCGCCTTTATCACAGCGTGATGGGGTAGAAAGTAATTATCGGAAGAGTCTGCTGAAATGCTACCATTTATCCTGGACATGTGTCCCAGTGATTCATATTCTGTTAGTACCCTATCATACTCCTTTTGCAGGACGGGATCCTTGGTAAGCCGTGTCTAATTCCGGAAGAACTGAGAGCATGCTCTTTTAAGAGAGGGGCCTAGGCAAATGTTTGCTGGAAATTCCTGCCTAAATGGTAGCGAGACTACATATTTTCCATCTGGGTTTCTCTCAGTCGTTTTCCGATAAAGCTCTTCACAATACTTGTCGTCTTCGTTTAAATTTTTGTTTTTCGGTATATCTTCTAGTTCCCAGAAAGCTGTTAGTTGTTGATCCAAGGCAACTTCGCTATGATAAGAAACTATGTTGTTTGTTGGATTTGGTGCTTCTGTGCGACCGGTTAAAATCCAACCGAACACGGTTTCTTGGGCAAGAAGTGTACTGAGAACATTTTTCTTCAAGCCGCACAAAATAATTTGGGGATAAATGTCTCCGCCAAGTACTAGGTCTACTTCTTCGTTAACGTAGAACCTTTTATCTGCTAAAATCAGATCTGGAAATGCCTGCATAGTCATAGCGCTGATATGGCAGGATGGAAGATTTCCAGTTAATTTTGTCAGCACGAGCACTGTTGCATGTAGACGAAACAGTGGGTCAACAGGGGACCGTAGTTCTATGTTGCATGCCTCCTTGACCTGAGCAGAGGTTGAATTCGTTATGCCTGAAACTTTGGCATACATCTTCTTAGATGGCAGGTTGATTCTGCGTTTGAGTCGTTCTGTTATAAAGGAACACTCCGAACCAGAATCAATGAGTGCTCGTGCTGAAAAATCTGTACCATTGAGACGTATATTTACACGAGCCGTTCCTAAAAGTACACCTGAGTTCATATTTGCATAATTAGACTTAACGTTTTTGCTTTTACCGGAGTTAGTTTTATTGAAGTTACGCCTTGCTGCAGCTTGTTGCGAGGTTGAGGCAACATCTTTGGCAGAGCTCGGTGGCGTTTGAGGCGGTGTTGCCTTTGGCGGAATTGTCTGGGTGTGCAGGAGCGTATGATGTCGCGAGTGACACGTGCTGCAATTGAAAGGGCTTGTGCATCTTGACACAGTATGTCCAGAACTCAGACAATTCAGGCAAGCATTGTTGCTCTTTAAAAACTCTATCCTTTCAGTTGGCGTTAGCTTTAGGAAATGGGAACAGTGGCGTAATTTGTGCTCATTTGTTTGGCACATTTTACATGTGTACTTGGTTACGCTTGTTTGGAACGCGCCAAGTCTTTTTGTGGGGGCTTCTGGTGTTTTGCGGCTTTGACGCTTTTACAGACTTTGTGCCCTTTATGCCTGACATGGTTTCCAAGGTTTGAAACCTATTCGATAGGAACTTGTCCATGTCTTCCCACTTTGGTAAATCTTTCTTGTGATCTATGGTTTGTTCCCATAGAGCC